GTTTTCACCCTCCCCAGGCTTCAGGAAAGCCTCCAGAGCCTGTGGATGGCGAAAAACGGGCCCAATGGAAGTCTGAAGGCTTCAGTGAGGCCTGCCTGCTTGCGCGGGGGGGACGGGGACAGCGCATGGGGTTTGTGCAGGGGTGAGGGCATTGCATTATGGGTGTGGACATGCACGCACATGCTATCATGCGCATGCCCTTTTGACACCCGAACAAAAAAAGGTTCGCCATCACTGCACTAGATGATCTACAGGATCCCTTCTAACTCTGTTAGTCTGTTAAAGTTTTTCAAATTTGGTAACTTTACAATGTGTAGACTTCAACTCCAAGAATTGCCCTGCCAGCACACTTTAGCTAAAGATGTAATTTAAATGAATAAATATTTGTTATTTAAATGCATTTCATTTAAAGCCTTTAGTGTTTTGTCCCTGTGCAAGGATACCCAGTTATCTTTGTTTTTGGAAAGAGTAGTGAGCACCGGTAGGGACCTGGGATCCTTAACTGACCATCTTATTTGTGCCTTTCAGCTCCGGAGTGAATACATGCAACTTTACGCGAGCAAAGTAAGCGAAGGGATGGCCCTACAACTAGGCTGCCTGGAGCTTCGGTATGTACTTGCTAGGCACAAGATTGCACCTGACACAAGCATGTTTGGAAAACATGTGAGCAGGGTCAAACTCTTGTGGCTTGCACAGTGATCCTTGCAAAACAGGAACCGAAATCCTGAAGCTGGGACATTAGCGAGAAGAATGATCTGAGGAATCCTGAGTTTAAGAGACACAAGCAAAGGCAGAAATCTGAAAGGATGCAATTAGGGAGGAATATTATAAGAAATTGGTGAGCTCCTGCATAATAATAAAGCAGGGTATTGTTAACTGCAATCTACTGAACAAACTGTGATGAACGAGCATTCACATCAAGCTAATCTATACTGGGTTGGTTTGCATGAGGCATTAACTCTTCTTAATAGGTGAGTTTTCACATTCAGCTGTATCAAAACAAACCACAATGCTTGTGCTTCTTGCCTGAATCAGACGATAATACTGACTGATATTCCGTTGATGATGAGATGGGAAACTTCCATTTAAAAACACTGGTGTGAGTTTTGTGGTGAATTAGGAGTCATGCAAATGTTAATATCCAATTTTTTTGCAGGAGATTCTACAAGGATATGCCCCACAATGCTTTAGACAAGAAGTCCAACTTTGAATTCCTGGAGTATGTAGACAACATTTTTAACTATGCTGGTTGAAGTTTTAAAAAGTTTCTCATTAGTTGTAGTGATCTTTGCCTGATAGATTTCTTTCTTTCCTATAATACACAGCCCTGCTTACATAACCAGACAAAATGTTTAAAATGTGTGTAAGTGTGTGTGTTCATGTATGAAGAAGAAAGAATGTGTATGTGTGGAGAAGAGAGACAGAGACAGGATCTCCTAAAACCCACCCCCAAATTCACAGTAACATCTAAGGCTTAACAGCTAATTGCTGCCTTCTCTCTCAGTCCAGTTCCTACACACGAAGCATTAAATTCTATTTCATCTGGGAAAACAGATTGGCATCCCCAATGCATCTTACCATAGTTGAAATTGCAACATTTATTTGCTTGAAGAAGGTGGAGCTGGGAAAAGAATCAGTGAGGAGGAAATCACATGGGGTGGGGCAGGCGTGGGCTGCTACTGGCATTACTGCCAGTTTGGTGCGCAGAAAAAAAAATTGCACATAAGTAGGTCTGTGCATGCACAAAATGTTAAAAAGTGGGGAATAAATTCTTCTGCGCATGTGC